AGCCATCCGGGGATCCGCGCGGCTACCTGCGTAATCGGCGTCGGTAGCGAGACGCGCAGCTGCGGTACACATGTTTTGAGTTGACTTGTAATCACTAGCTAATGGAATCATTTTCGTTCAAATTTCGCAGAAATTTTCACTATATTTTCATCAATTTAACAATGATATAATGTATTGACTGAAATGCTATTGACATAATCTATTGTCATAGAATAAAGCTATATTAAAGTGCAAATTGCAATAAACTCTGATGATTAGAAAGGCTCTGAGAAACCGACAAAGTATGATTGTTGTCTTGCATTTATTTAATACATATTATCTAAATTTAAGTGTTAAAACATCATGAATAATAGGATTTTGGAAATTAAAAAGAAATACAATTTAAGATTAAACTAAAATAGATTATTTAAATGTAAAAATGTGTACTCAAAATGGCGTTGTCATTTTTACGTGCATTTTCCCATAAGAACGAAAAGTTGTAATTGGGAGCACTTAAGTTTGTTTAAAAATTCTGAAAAAAATTCAGAGCTATTCGTAATGTGACTAGCTACCGATTTAATTGACTGGAGCCATAAAAATAAAAAACCTCACTTTTCTGAACAGGCCTAGTGGACATTCGGCGCGTACAGTCTGTGATTCTTTTCCAGGTTTGCCCTCTCGCGCTCCTTCGGCTCCTCTCGGCTTCCGGCTTGCCACCTTCGCCTTCTCGCTCATCCCTCGCTTGCCAACCTATCTGCCTAGGACAAACCTTGTGCTTGCCCTTATCGAAGGTGTCCTGATACCTAAAACTTGTGTTCCAGAGGGGCGCAGCCTACCGAGATAATTCTCGAGAGCGTGAAGTCCGGATGGTTACTGCAGAAACGCCGGATGAGCCCGTTCAAAGCAGTGAGAAGCCATCGTTGAGGCTTTGCCGCAGAAAAACAAAGGACCGCGGCTGTACTCTCTTGATCACTCTGTTTTTTTGTGCAACTATAGCCATAACCGCGCCATCGCGTTTCGTCGCATTACATCCGTCTTACATCTATTTATTGACATGTATCTTTATAATCCGTACATGTATAGCGACGTTACAATTAATCGCAATGTAAACCACTTTACAAACGACGCTTTACCTTCGTCGCCTTATATATGTATTAAATGTATTATTATTGCGCACATCTGTGCGCCGGGCTACCTCGAGGCCAGCTGCTCCCCCCCCCCCCTTTTTTTACGACGCCAAATTTCTGCCGGTCTCTCAGCTCATTAAGACGATGACCATCACGAGGTCTGCACATTTCGCGCAGATGTGCTGCAGCACGCTTTCCCGTCCAACTACTCTGGGCTTTCCTGGCATCGCGTTTATTATGTTAATGATGCGCCAGCAACTCATACCGCTCGAATTGTTTTATGACCCGTCACATTGTCTCTTTTTGTTTGAGCTGTAAACATGCCTGTTCTTTTGTCGCCACGAGTTCAAACTTTGACAAGCGGTAAATAGACAACGCACGTGTTTCATTCCTTCTCTCACTTGTACTCCAATTTACAATTCACCCGTGATCTACGCCTTCAACAATTCGTATCAATCCAAATAACACTTTAATCGGTCTCAATGTAAAATTTATTTATCATACGACAATCCACTCTATTCCGTTTCAGTTTTATTACTAGACCAATACATCATTACATTTTATTACTAGATCAATAAAAGCAAAATTTATACGGAGACATCTAAATTCCTACTTGAATTTTAGTTCGCAATAATAGTTGATTGAACCACTCCAATTATTTTATATCTAATTTCTGCGTAATAATTCCGTTTGAATTTAAACAAAATAAAAATAGTAATTTGTAAATAAAAATTCAATTAATAACACTATGCTTTTCATTTATTAGTGCAAAACCCAATTGTTATTCCATATTTTCTATATCATACACTTATAGCATTTAATGAAATTGATTTGGAGATGATTGATTTTTTCAGTAATTTTTAATTAAATTGAATTCGAACAATATAATTAAATGAAATACGTAATATTTACACCATACAATCTTATCGTTTCATCGAACCGCTTTCGATAATTCTTTCAGCTATATTTACTTTGTAAAGTGACTTTTACTTTAATATTATTTTACTCATTGACTTCATCAACTAATTTACTCCATTGTGATGCAATAATTTCCATTACTACCTCTGTCAATCTATAATTATTAATAATTACTTAGACCACATGTCAAAAATAATATACTACTATCTGTTAACTACCTAATACTGACGTATGGCTGTCTCCTTTGGTTTAATCAATTTGTAGACACGATGGAACGATTCGGAGTATTTGAGCGACAGTGCTAATGCGCTTGCCTAAAAAAATACAGATCATCGAAATCCGAATAGAAAAAATTTATAAGTAATCAATCACTATGTAATAAAGTCGATATTTGATATTCCTCACATAGATCATTTTATCATAAAACTAACAAGAAACTATTTCACCAATGCAAATAAAAATTAATTATGACCCGCTGATAACAAAGAAGACATTAAAGATAACGGAATCGAACATACATTAAGCATCTTAAAAAATCGAGTTAGCCACCACCAGAGTCCATCAATGTACTTGACGAGCAAGGCTATTTACAGAGCTCTAAAAATATTCCCACCATTTATCGTGTTGGACATGAGGCCACGAAAACAGGAAAACTACTCCACAATCAGTAAAAAATATATCCAGTTTAAAATATTTAACGACAATACCAAAATGTGACCGTAATGACACAAGCCGTTTAAAAATATCTTATCTGGGTAGTTGTTTTTAAGAGTAATAGAAAAATAGCGTTCCTGTAATAAATAAAATAAGATCTGAACACTACTGCTTTCCACCCCACTCCTCTACCGATCAAATCTATTAAACGGCTCTAGTATGAAATAAAGTCAAAATACGTGTACAATTTAAAGTTTTCAAAAATTTCTTTTAAATTTAAATACACTGCATATAGTAAATTTTTTAAGTCCATAAACTCAATACGAAAATATACTATTAAAAATGATTTATATAAGTTTAAAATTCTTATACTCATTAGTCGCATTTGAACTGTACTGTTTTTGATTAACTTATATTTTTAACATGATAATTTTATTGACTCATGGTATAGTGCATGATCTACCTAGAGCGAGAAAATAGATTCTTGTGTTATACAAGAGAGAGGTTTACGACCGAACGAAGCAAGACTAGAAAGACACATGAGATGAGAATCTCTTTCCCGCTCTAATTAGCTGATGTACTATAATATATTTAATATGTGAAATAACAACTCAATTAAAATTATCATAATTAAGAAGGTGTAATATTTTTTATATTAATCAACGATATAAATGAACAATTCTTCTAAAACTAGGAAGAAAAGGTACTTCATGCATTCCATCAGTTATCACGGTTTCTCTGACTAATTTGTAAATCAACGATATCTTTCCATAATACATCCCATAATATAAAAGTCAACATTCAAAATCAAAAGTAATAACTTACATAGAATTAAATTGACCAATTATCAATAAATAATTGTCGGAATCGATAAACGACCAGCGAGCCTCACGTGCACCAAATCTTCCTCACCCGTATTCCCACTACATTATGTATTTGGTCCGCTGTAAACTTTTTCTCTTCGACATCTTTATTACTGTCGTAACCCATTCATTAAAATTGTGCTCGTAATGTAAATTATTGAAGAATATATATGCCTTACCCTTTTTTACTCAGATTTCAAACTGTGTAAATATTGATTTCTTGAAATATACCTATTGTTTGCTTACATTCAATTGAATGAAACATTAAAGATAATGAAAACTACATAACGCGTATACTGTACTTTTTTACGTGAAAGAATGTCTTGAAGCAAAGTTTTATGTATTTTCTGGGACAATTCGTTTTAAAAGCAGCTAACAATGCGCAAAAAGTAGCTGAATCTTCAGTATCACCCTCGCAGAGTAAAGTGTCGAAAAATTGCAAATTATTGAAAGAATGGTAAAAAATGAAAATATTTAGTAAATATTTTAATAATAATAATGTATTTTAATAATTAAATTCTTATGTATTTTAACAATGAAATTATATATTTTCAATAATGAAATCCGATTAAAAATCAAATAAATTTTCAACTTTAAAACCTACATTTACAACAATAAGATATTAGATAGATATTACTAGAGTAAAACCACACGTCAAGTTCGAAAAAATAACCTAAAATTATGAAAATGCCAGATACTAACCCACGTACAGAAAAATTGACATTAAACACGTACATATAAATAAAACACACATATCGCTAGACCTAATACACATGCCGAGTTTCATTAAGATATCTTCAAGATCATACAAATCTTATACGCTAACACATATACAGAAAAGTAGTAAAAAATTGCAGTAAAAATGCAGTAAATAAAATAGTTCACATCTTACAGAAATACAAATTAAGAGCAGAAGTTGCAAAAATACTATTAAAAAATTGATACGAAAAATAATAATAACCTAGTGGAGAATGATATTCTTAAGAAGGAAGAGTTACTACAAGATTTATGTTAATATGAACTATAAGTTTGAGCTTATAATTTTATTTGTTGTTAGTTTGAGTACAAGTATTTGTGAGTACCTTTGCAAGTAGTTGTAGGTTATTAAAACGTGTAGGCTATTAATGGCAAATAAACAAAATAAAGCAATAAAAAATTGTGAAAAAATACGATTGCAAAAAGAAAAACTTTATAAGCTATTCTAAATTCATATAAAATAATATATCAAAAAAAATATTATCATTAGAAGCAGTACATTTGAATATAACAGCAACAAAATTGAAAAAAATAACCATTAAATAAATAAATTAGAATAAAAAAAACAATAGTACAGTTCGTAACGAGTTCCCAAAAGCTTTTTTGCAAAATCATAGTTCACTAATTAAATCGTTTTTAACTTATCATATGTAATGATGTCTTGAAACAAAGAATAATAAAATAATTAAAAAATCCTTTTCTTTATTTCATTTAGATATACAAAAATCTCAGGCCGTTTTCATATTAGTTTTTTTCATATTAGCTATAGTGGTGGGCAATTTCATATACAATATAAGTGACTTAACTTATGTCATTATCACTCCAGATATCAGATTCAGTACCTAATACATCCCCAGACCGAGTACATATAACTGCATTACTTACTTCAGTAGTCTCTTCCATAAACCCAAAAAATACCCAGTTATTTCTATTTGGTGATTTACAGTTGATCACAGCCGTATCTTGTGTGGATCTATTATCTTCGTGATAAAAATTCTTCCGCGTAAATGTCCAGCAATCTTTTATATTTATGCAGTCAACTTTAGTAACCAAGCTGCTAATCTGTCCTTCATAATCAGATTGTACATACTTAATTATCATGGGTTCGCTGAACAATGCTTCAGTCGAATAAACCATCACGTTTCGGTTATTAAACTGATCGCAATACATTCTTCTGTCATTATTAGAACTGTGAAACCAGCAAAACGTCAACCCCGAGGAAACCATTTGTAATTTCCGATCGGCGCTTGGAATTGACATCAGATAATGCAATTTACCGCTATAATAGCTCATTTTCGCTACATGATAAAATTGGCCTTGAAGCCCCCGCACAACAAAATTTCGGGATGGCAATCGTTCGATGTGTATGCTTGACCAATCGAAATTAACTTTAAATTCCATTTTTATTTTTGGTATACGGGTATTGATAACGTCATCTGAAGAATAGCTGTACCAGCAGCGATAAAAGTATCTGTCGCTATTATCCTTAGACAGACAAAGATTTTTAGAATCTCGAAAGAATATGTTCAAACTATCAGTTGATGGAACAATGATAGCATTTTCGACCTCCAAATTAAGGTCAATTCTAACACAATCTTCCATGTTCAATACTTCAATTCTGGTTTGGCGGCTACGATTATATTCCATCTCATCGTACCAAGAGAGCACAATTAGATTATCAGTGAGTCGTCTAAATGATTCAATCTTCATTGCAGCAACGTTTGAGCGGCTTACTATATCGAAGAGACACTGTTTATTTGGGAATTGCTCCGTGTACTTCACAATTTCTACCTTAACATTGATTATACGCTGCGATTCATCGCTACGTTCCGTGTAAAACAACCTGGCGATGCTGTTACTTAACTTTTCGGGTGCTGTTAACCATTCATAAGCCACTCCTGGGGTGGCTAATAAATAAAGGCTCATAAAAAGTACGCATGCAAACATTTTCAAAAATGGATCTAGAAATAAAAAAAATTAATTGAGAAACTGAGAATATCATTAAAAAAGTAACTGTACAAATTTTGACAATTGACCAAACCTGATATTAAGTTTTACGCAACTATTACTCTGACAGGTAATCAGCACATTTGCCGGGCTGGGTTGGGTTGAGTCGGTTCTCGACGCTCCGATTCTATAACAAAACTAATCTTTAGAATTGAAAATAAATGTCTTTTTTTTAGAAATCTTTCATATTTAAGCTCTTTCAACATACGTAATCCTACAAAGAAATTGTTTGAAATAATCCTTTTTAATGAAATAAATTTTTTTTAAGAAACATTTATAGTATGATGATAAGAAATCAATAAAAATTTATCGAACGGTTAAGATAAAATATAATTTTATATTGCAACATAAAATACTAAACTGTTTCAGGTATCCTTATAACATGAAAAATGTATTCAGGAGACAATATTCTACACTAGAGTATTTTTGCTTAGAAATTAGAACACGTCGTGAGTCATTACGTACTCGTACTGCTTTGTGATAAGAACATGCGGAAACTGTTTTATAGTATGAAACAGCATAAACCACCCAAAGACACGTGCTCAACTACGTTCCAAACCGAATAAACATTGATATCATGAATAAACGTAATTAATCAAAGCATACGTGTCTAATAATTTAAGAATGCTTTGTTGATATTCAAATGATGTAAAAGTAAATACATACTATTTCAGTACATTTATCTTTGAAGTTAGGCAGAACGATGGCTTCACTAATAAGCATACGAGCTTGGATTTCATCAGCATTCAACATTTTTAAACCAAATATGCAAAAAAACCCGGACTTACTTACATAATATATGCTTCATTTTATATGGATTCAACAAGCGAAAAAAATCGATAACCCAATTTTTTTAATTTTAGTATAGTATTCTACACAATCATTCAGTATTTTTTTTATTCTCCAAATAACTTTTTAAGCTCGAGAGCACGTTATCAAAACTAACACTGAAAAACCGGTTTTTATCAATGAAAATTCGCAGGTTTTTTAATTCACTGTAGTTTCGGTACAAATGATCGCATGGCGATATTTTTTAATATGCAGAATTGCATCAGCTAATTTGGCCAGATTTTGATTTAGAATAACTTTGGATATAACGGATGAATAAAAGATAACGACTAATTTTTCGACCTCAAAGTATCCCCAAAAACCTTCAAAGTTGCGAAGCGCTACGATTTTTTTTTCTTAGTTACCCGGAAGGTTCAAAATTGACGTTTCTGTCAAAAATCACCGTAACAAGCAATTGTTTAGATTTTTATTCATGTTTTAACTTAAAAAAAAAATTTTCGACATGTCCGTAGTGCTTTATTACTATAATTTATTACTTTGTTCACTTACCGCCGGAATTAGTGTTACTCAAAGTCTACCACGTGGATGGTGCACGATCAGATGTACGCTTTTTATACAGGCGCGCACATACGTATTGTGTACGTATGGTTTTCTAAGACGTATGAGACTTAGTAGTACGTCAGTTCTACCATATTTAATAACTCCAAAGTTATCCTCTAAAGAATGTATGTTTGTCTGTGTGTGTGTGGTTCTTTGGGACGTATGAGGCCCGGTGGTTCGTCAATTCCACAGTATTTAACAACTCAAAATTTATCCTCCAAAGTTTGTGTACGTATGTGTGTATATGTGAGTGTATGATCCTACTTCAAGACCTAGCATTGTCGTCCCTGTTTTAGATCATTACTTGCAAATGTTCTCGCATATTGATGCATCTTTGAATATTTCACTGGCTTATTCCCCACCAATATTAAATCAGAGCTTAAGACAAATGACGTAAATTATACAATTGTAGGTAATTCCTTCGCAATCAACGCTTAAGCATGTTCTAAACATGCTCGATTGGATTCAAATCGAAACTTACTGTCCGATAATTCAGTTTTACCACGTTGGTGTTGGTGAGAAAATGTCTGGTACGTACAGCAGTGTGAAAGCGAGCATTATTCTGCATAAGAATGAACCGATTTCTCATCCGTCTACGTACAGGAAGAACGAGTGGTTCAATTCATTAATGTACCTTTCGGCAGTTAATGTTCCATTAACAATTACTAATGAAGTTTTAGTATTATAAAAAATTCCTGCCCACGCGATCCACCATCAAATCCACAGTTGGTCTTACAAAATTATCATGATTTCTTTCATCACGGCGATGTGTAAATTTTAATTTTGTGTAGAAGTAAAAATCTCGAGAGGAGTTGTCCGGTGGAGATGTACGATAGAGGCGAAGCAGAAAATAATTCCGTTTCGCAGTCCTTTCAAAAATTCTTTATTTTATTATCGACTATTTATCGGAATTCCGCTAGATTATTTATACCAGATATCGAATTGTGATGATCCGCTTCGTGATTTATTCATACTATTGAAGTCATACATAGGACGAGTGAACTCTTCGCTTTACGCTAGTTTCGATACTATTTGACATAATTTACAACTATTTCAAGTATAAGTATTGATAGTCAAAACCCAGGCAAGACCTAGTGGTCATTCACATGATGAGAGTAAAATCGTTGTCCTCCGAAAAGTCGGTAGATTTGTTCTGCGAAACCCCTCGGTCTTGAATCAGTACAACTTTCCGATTTCTGATACTAAAAAATTATCCATCGAGACTAAACGGAGTTAGTAGCCAGTGATGATACTGCCTACGAATGTTCCTCTGTGCTTCAGGTTCTCACGTCATAGCACTTTTAACGTCGATGCTAGGATTTGCGCAGGATGGCTGGTGATGTTATATCAATGACTAGCACCGATAAGAGACTCCTCTCTTAGTAATCTCAACGTCCCGGCAGCAGGCGAGCTAAGTGACTCCTAGATCCTCACCAAACTTGGTTTTATAACGGTGATTCGAACACTGGGCGCGGCCTTTTAATTCGATTCACTTGTTATAGATGATAAACAAGAGATCGTCTGTCGTTACCATACATTGAGATTCGTGATTTGTCAGTGAATAATACAATACTCCACTGTCTGAAGCCCCAGTGATGATGTTAATTTACATAGTTCAGCCAGGTTCGACGGTGTCTAGCCTTTAAAAAATTGACCAGCTGTCATACCTGTATCCGCTATAGGTTCTTGACGAGAGTGATGAACGATAGCTCGATCATCGCACCAGTAGTCATTCGTTACCTACCTTGGCCTGGTCGTCGATCGTAGGTTTGGCTTTCATTGAAACACATATAAGCTCAACTAATGATCGAAACTTCGATCTGCATACGGCCCTCTTAAAGTAGGGCAATGATACGAGCCATATTTATGGCAGACAGATGTTGCTTTGGATTGAATGTCAAAAAAATCAAATATTTGAGGTAATTATGAAAAAACTGTTTTGAGGTTATTAAGAAACTATTTTAACAATAGAAGCTGCAAAAAAAATTACATTTTCGAGGTTTATGTGAAGAGAAGCAGTTGACTGTTAGAAGGTATATCAACTTTTAATAATTAATTTTTAAATTGACACTTTAAACAAACGTAGTTAGAATGGTAAAAAGATTGAAAAAAATTTTTTGACAAGAAGAGAACATCGTGAATACAGAAAAAACGGTTTTTTAATTTTTTAGAAAGTTATTTCGAATAAAAGTTTTTTGCGTCTTTTTACTGTAGGTGAAAACAGTAAAAAATTATAGTAAACGAAACATTGTATACGTGTTGAGAAAAGAAAATGATTGAAATTGAAAAAATAATATTTTTATACATATTTTTTGTTGATGATTTTTGTTTACTTATTACTATATATACTTATATAATTCGACTTATATAATTATTTATTTATAAACTTATACTATTTATACTTATTATTGTTAAGAAAAATATTTTAAAGTTGAAAAAAAGAATAAAAATCTAAAAAATTACTTGTTACGGTAAGTTTGTATAGAAACGTTAATTTTTAACATTCGGGGCACTAAAAAAAATCTTTAAGTTCCGTAACTTTCAGGATTTTTGGGGATACTTTGAGGTCAAAAAATTACAGTTGGCATCCTTCATTCATCCATTGTATTCAAAGTTATACCAAATTTTTTAAATATCCTTAAATTCGTAAATTTCCAATTTTTTGTCAATCAATATAATAATATAAATAAATTTTTTAATAAATCAATATAATAACATAAAAAAATTTTTTTTAATCAAAAACTACTGATCACTTAACATAGAGAATGTTTTACAGTTTTTAAAACCTTAATTCCATGTTCTGTATGATCATTGGATCAAAGCAAAAAAGTCAAAATAAACTTTTTTTCTTTAATTGACGATTACTCTGGGTCAAATCATTGTACGGAGCTTTTTAAAAATCGACTCACTTGACTGCTGATGGGCTTCTCATCAATTTTGTTTGACTACTACTGATCGAGCAGATAGCAAAATTTTAAAATATTATCAATAGAACTAGAAATTCGAATTGAATCGCAGATATTTGGTAGAATAATTTCTAGAGACTCGAAAGATTTTTCAGCCATAACACTGCCGACACGTCAATAATTCTATTGAAGAAAAACTCGTCAGTGTCATTTAAAAGATCACAAAATAGCGCACTTGTGTTTATGATCGCAGCTGCAATTATTGTGATAAGAAAGTTCTCGAATGAACGTTCTAATTTAAACATGTCCCTGGTACAAAAAAAATTAAAATAAGCCTGTGATCTAAAAATATGTCTTTTCAAATTTAAATTAGTAATAAAATTTATTAAGCGTAGTACGTAAGATGCGACGTAATATGATTGGAATACTGGAATGAATATTGAAAAATAAAAGTGAATAGGTTTGATTCTAAATTGAATTATAGTTAAAGAATGAACGAGTGCTGTAAGTCATAAATGTAATTGATTCCGTGATATGTTGCGTGAAATTGTAGATGCGACCTATTAAATATGTATTTTTACTGTTTCATGGTAGATGAATTAACAATAAGACTCTGTTAATAGGTCAACATCTTTTTTATTAATAATTAAGCAAAAGTTAAACTGTTAGAAAGCAGGTGAATAACAAACTAAACTAAATTGATAAAAAAATAAAACTTTATAGGAGACTAATTTTCTAGTGTCTACTACCTCATCATTGAACTTGTTGAATCTACGTTACTTATTGTTAGTAAATATCTTGACTCGTTACTGAAACAAGAACATTTGATTGCATTCATAAAATCGAACTTTTCGTTGAAAAACTTTTTTTTGTATCTTAAATTTGAGATTTTTGCATAGAAAAACATTTCTGTTACGACAATTCAGTCTGAAATCGGTTGCATTCGAACTTCCAACATTTTTAAGATCTCTGATTTAATCTATATAAAGTTTAAAATTTTTACTTAAATTATATCCGGAACATTGAAGTAAAATTTCTATATTTTTTCAATCATATTTTCATCTACATACAATCACAATCATCTACAGTTTCTGGCCGAATTAAAAATTTAGACAAGTACTACTATTGG